AGGCACATTATGGCCTCTTAGTGAGGTGTGCGAGGATAGTTGTGTTTGAGCTCGGCAAGTTGCCAAAAGAAAAAAGATCAAATACGAAGTTATTTCAAAGAATCCGTTTGTTTACGAACTATCATGCGGAGAAACCGGGAGACACAGCTTCACAGAAGTTGCACTCCATACTGAGGGTGACAATTTATGGCATACGGTAGTTCGGGGAAATTGTGGGCTTCTGGAGGGTGGTAATCATAGGTTGAATCTTATCACCCAGGGAGAAGCTAGCTAGCTACATGGAATCTTCATGTAGAAATCTGGACTTGCAGGAAGGTGGACGACCTTATGCGCCTCACAACTTCCTGATGACAATGTGGTGACATGCTTCGCGCGATCAGATACGTCTGCATATGTTGTCTTGAGGTGATTGATTGCCGTAAGATAACATCTCACCACCTGCCAGGTAGGAGGAAATTGTGGATTTTTTTTTCTGGGACTAAGGTTTGAGGGTTAAAGATAAAGTCATACACGAAACGCCAGCAATATCGTCATGTGCAATGTGGGATTAATTAACACCCAGGAAGTCATGCAGCGCAAGTCGGGTTCTTTGCAAAAATCCGCTTGTAATGTGACACATGTCATGTCCTAGTCCCCTATGCCATGTGTCGTGTTAGATAGGTTGTCCAGAAAAGCGTCAGGATCAAGATTTTTCCGATGGTCAAGTTACGGGATTACGGTAGCCGAGCAGTAAATAAATTCAATAATGTGCATATGAATGAGATTGAATGTGACAATAGAAATTAGAGCAGAAAAGTTCGAATTGGGCAGAGAATTCAGGAGAATGTTTAGGAGGAAAACAGGATTATATGGAATATTTACCTGAGTTTGGGTAAGGCCCAATTCGGCTGCTAAGGAGGCCCGATCGGGCAGTGCTAAGTATTGCGTCTTAGTGAATCTAAAAAGTAATTGAAATTTTTGGGGAAGTAATGCTTGCTGAAGTACATAAGATTGCAAAAACACGAATGATTGAGCCAATTTTAATATAAAGAATTTTCCGCCAAACCTACCGCTTTTGAAGAGTTTGCAACTGTTGACTAGAGTAAATTGTCCTCGGTTTTCGTACTTTCTTCCCTTTCCCGTTAATTTTCACCTCACCACCTTCGATAATTTTTGTCGTCATTTGATCTGAAACAATGAATTATTGCAATTATCCAAATCTCACCTTCAACCCAATTACAATTTCCGGTAATTACCGTAATAAATCTCACCTTCCGGTGAACTTGCAGCCGCTTGTGGATACATGAAATGCGTCGGCTGCTGCGAATACATCGATGAAGCGGTACTTGTAGAGAAATTATAGAAATACGGTGAAACTTGTGATCTTGCAGTGAAATCCTGAGCTGTGGCAGCGGTAGGATAGCAATAGCTGCCATAGTCAACAAATGGCTTCTGATCCATGTCCATTTGTGGATCGTTGACGCTGGAGCTTGTGGTTTTGAAGCTTTGGCTTGGCAGCAGCTACTGATGACACAGCAATGACAGCGAGAAGACACACAACGCACACGAACGAGCGCAACGAGATGGGGGAGACGGTCGTGGGGGGTTCTGGCTAGTGGTGGTAGTCTTCGAATGGTTCGGAGTCTATGTGCGGAGCGGAGGCGGCGCGCTACTATTGGCCCGCGCCCC